TGGTGCCCGCCCAGCGAGCCCCCCCGCCTCCGGCTGCCCCTGCCTCCCACCTCGGCCGGTTCTCAAGCTGGAGGCAGCCCCCCAGGACTTAAGGCTGCACCCAGGCCTCTTGTCTTCCAGCCCAGGGGGTGTGTCCGCGCTCTCTTCGCGTCCAGGAGAGGGGAGCCGTCCTCTTCGTCTTTCTTGGCTCAGGCTCACGGCTGCCCCCCACCCCCCAGCCTGCCTGTGCCGTGCTCCCCGCTTCTGGCTGGGACTGGAAGGCCCAGTGAGGACAGAGGTTGCTTCCACGGGGAGAGCAGGGCAGGGTCATGTCGGGGGAAGGGCTGCCGTCGGGGCGGCCGCTGAGGTGCCGGGAGAGGCATCTGCTGGGGTCCGAACGGCCGTGTCCCCCCTGTGCCTCCCCAGGTGTTCCTGCATGAAGCCACCGTGCGCCTGATGGCCGGAGCCAGCCCCACCCGCACCCACCAGCTGCTGGAGCACAGTCTGCGCCGGCGCGCCGCTCAGGGCACCAAGCACGGTGAGTTGGCCGGCGACCCAGCTCTGGGCCTGAGCCCCACGGGTGGCCCCACCTGCAGCGTTCTCGGGGGTCGCGCAGGAACAGGAGCAGCCCGAGGCTTCGTTCGGCGGGGGGCTGCTGGGGAGGAATCGGGAACGCTGTAAAGCTGCGGTTTGGTGGGGTTGTGAGTCTAGCCTCAGGAGCAGGGAGATGTCGTCCCAGCGCTGGGGGGGGGGGGGGGGCGGGGTGTCCCTGGAGCCACACTGCATGGGGGGGGGGCGTCTCAACCCCACCACCGAATACTAGCTGCGGGGTACTAGCCACGATCCTCCGTGGTCGTCCGTGAACCAGGGCGGGCACTGGAACCCACCTCCCTGGGTGGGCCTGTGGTCCAATAACACGCCCACAGCAAGCCCTTGGAACAGCCCCTGCGTCCTGGAGGCCTCCCGGTGACTGGTCCCCCCACGTATCTCGCCCTTCCCGCAGGAGAGGTGGACGCCTGGCCCGGCCAGCGAGAGCGGGCCACCGCCATCCTGCTGGCCTGCCGCCACCTTCCGCTGTCCTTCCTCTCCTCCCCGGGTCAGCGGGCGGTGCTGCTGGCTGAGGCGGCCCGCACCCTGGAGAAGGCGGGTGACCGGCGCTCATGCAACGACTGCCAGCAGATGATTGTCAAGTTGGGGGGCGGCACGGCCATCGCCGCCTCCTGACCCCTGGGCTCTGCCCACCTCAGCCCGCTGCCTCCTTCGCCCTCCTCCCTCTGTCTCTTGGTCTCTCGCCCTGCTCCCTCTGGGAGTTGTGGGATGAGCCTTGTCTCCTGAGCTGTTGCCTGCCGAGGCTGGTCGACCACCTCAGCCTGGCAGGCCCCTGGGCCGAGCCCCCCAGAGCTGCTGTGGAGAGCTGCCCGGGGCCCCGGGGCCCACGGGGCTGGCAGAGGAAAGCCAGGGCAGGGCAGGCATTGAGGAGCTCCCTGACTTGAGAGCAGCGGGTGGCTCCCAACCTGCTTGGCCCCTGCCTCCAGCCCTCAACCCTCCCCAGCAATTCTCTCCCCAAACACCCCCCCTTTCCTGCTTCCTGGTTTTTTTATCAGGCTTTCCCCGTGGGGGACGTAGGTCTCTGGGCACCAGAGCGCCTCACCCTTGGCACTGTGCCCAGCTTGCCCCTTTCCCCCTTTTTATACAGATGTTTTTATACCCGTGTGCTTGGGTTTGCCGTGATGCGGGGCTGGGCTGCTGTGGCGTCTTCATTTCTGTCCTTGGGTCTGTGCCCTCCCCTGTGCCTGACAAAGCCAGTTCCTTGTTTTCTCTTTATCACACAGGACGGCCAGGGAAGGCGGGGGGCCCAGCCTTGGGGAGGCAAGTGGGAGGCAGGGGGCAGGCCTGGGGTTGGGTGAAATAATGTCGGCATTATTTTTTAATTTTTTAAAAAATAAATGGTATCTTATTGAATTGTCCTGTTCCTTCCCCCGCCCCCGCCCCCTGGGGCGTCAGCCCAAGCTCAGGGTAGGCCCAGGGGCTGGGAGACGCGAAGCCACCCAGCGGGACTGAGGACCAGGGGCCTTCAGTGTGGGTTCTCAGTTCCCTCCCACCCCAACTCCTTCCTCCAACTCCATCTCCAGTCTATTTTTATCCCTAATTCTGGACCTGAAAATAAGCCAGGGTGGCAGGGACCAACCCCCAATCCCTCCCCGTCCCTTTTTGGGGTGGACACTGGGAATAAGGCCCCCCCGCCTTGACGGGGGTCCTGGGAGGAAAAGTCCCACTTTTCTGGACCCCCCCCCCCCCCCCCCGGGTTGGTGCCTCCCCTGAGGCCATTTCTAGCAGGACCCAAGGACTGCCTGAGACCCCAGAGCCTGCTGTGAGGCTGAGAGGGGCTGCCTTCTCTCCCCGCCTGTGCAGGGGCCCCAGCACAGACTGGGGGGTGCACGCAGTGGGGGCTCCCCCGACGCCAGGTGCAGGCTGGAATGGCTCGGCTTGGACCTTACCCCCTTTTCTGTCTCTGCTGCCCCTCCCCCCACAGCCACTGTCATTTGTGGCCCCTGCCGTACCCCACCCCCCATGAGCCAGCCCTTGTGTCATGTGTATATACCGTGCCTTTTCTCATTATTGTTTTAGGGGTGGGAGGGGGTGGGTTTTCATGGAAAAGGGGCTACACTTATGGCTTCCTTGATATGGAATCATTCACTGTGTCCTGGATGTAGTTACTCAATAAACACAGACTGGTACCACCCAGCAGGAGGCGTGTGAGGGTCTGTAGCGTGACCGCTGTCATGACTAGGTGGCTGCGCGGCCTGGCTGCTGGGGGGTCAGGGACTGAGGACAGCCCCCCCCTCTGTGCTGAGAGGCCCCTGGAAGGTTTCAGTCGGAAGGACCTTCCTCCCCGACCCACACCGTCCCCTCCCTTCCGACGCCGCTGCCAGGACAGAACCTGGGACAGAAGGGCAGCCCGAGGCGCTGCCGGAGGCCGAGGTCCCTGTATCCAGGACACAGCTGGCTGCGCAGAGCAGCGGGGGTTTTGGATTTGGGGTGCTAAGCCCGTGTGTGTGCTCACCCCTCAAAGATAAATCTCCCCCCACTGGGTGGGCTGCCCCTTAGTTTCCCCTTCCTGGTCCGCCAGTCACATCCAAGTCCAGCTCCCGTACTTCCCAGCTGGGCCACCTGGGGCAGGGCCTCACCTCCGCTCCACTTACAGGGGTGCGCAACAGGGTTGACAGTCCCCACCTTTGACCAAGTCCCCGTAGACCTGTTGGCGGGTTTCAATGATACGACACACAACAAAGTACCGGTTAGAGTTAAGTACCTTAACTTGTGTGGCGGCTGAGGGCAAGACCACAGGCAGCAGTGGGCGGGAAGAGGAGCAGTCTGAAGTGAGCTGGGGATGAGTCTGGGGCGGGGAGAGCAGGGTCTGTGACCAGGCCTGGCTGAGAAGTGAGTCACAGCAGGCCACACTGTCCCGAGGGCCAGAGCAGCCAGGAGGGGCCCAGCTGCAGCATTTCCGGTGGTGGCCCTGCCCGTAGCCTCAGCCTGGCCCCCCCTGGGATGGAGATCTAGGGTCCTTGGGACTGAAAATGAGCAGGGGTTGCACCCACCTGTCAGGGCCTGTGTCACCCGGGTGGGTGGCTGTGGCCGATGTGCCCAGGAACCTGATCCTCTTGTGAGTCTCTGCAGGCTCCATGACTCAGCACCCACCCTCCTCCCCGGGCTCTCTACACAGCTGCAGGATAGGCCCGGGACACCCCACCCCCAGTTGAGGACTGTCTCCCCTACCAGCCATAGGGGTCCTCACTGCAGGCAGGACCACGGACTCTTGGCTCTGTTCTGTCCTGCGGCTTCTGGGCCTTGGATTCCTCAAAAGCCAGGAGACTGAGGTGGGCCCTCCTCCAGGTGAAGAGCTGGGGGCTGGGGGGCCTCAGGGCAGCCCTGCCAGGAGGAAGATCTGAGACTGCCTGTTCCTGGGGAGCAGCACTGCCCCACCCCACCCCTGCCAGGACACACATTCAGACCTTCCTTCGTCCCCAGACTGCCCTGCCTGCCATTCATCAGATTCACAGTTGCAGAAGACAGAAGAGTCCTAAACTAATCAGCTGGGTGACCTTGGCAAGTTACTTAGGTCTCAAAACCTCAATTTCCTCATCTATAAAGGCACACACCCATGGAGCTTTTGTAAGGACTAAATAAAAGCAGCAACAGATGGTGACCATTGTCATTAAAACAGTATACGATGCCTAGGGTACACAGGAGGGAAACTGAGGCCCAACTGGGCGGCTTTGTTGATGTCACACACTGAGGGGCATAACCCAGACCTCAACCTCCCCAACCATCCCTGGTACAACAAAACTCATACACCCAGGCTGCTGGCAATGCCCTGAGACACGGCTAGGTACCCGGAGCCTGCCTGGCAGGAAGGGGAGAGCTGGCCCAGCCGAGCATGTGTGAGCTCCCCGCAGCAGGGGCACTGCCAAGGCTCGATGTCCAGCATCCCCCTTCGCTTTACCCCCAGAGCAGCTACTGGGAGGAGGCTCCCCCATTCCGAGCACCAGCTGTCCGCTTGGCCCACTGCCCCCACCCATTAGGGGGGTGGCCCTGGACCAAGCCGGCCAAGTGGCCTGCAAGCCAGGTGCCGGCTCAGGGCCAGGTTATGTCAATGAGGATCAGCCCGGCTCAACCAACTCAAGATGTAGAGTGAGTGACTGGCTGGGGGTGGGGGCTCACCTCCAGGAAGGGGCATGGACCCTCCAGGGGGCCTCAGGCTCCCAGATAGCCCTCTCCCCTGTGCTCTGGAGCCTCGAGATGGCTGGGGCGCAACTGCCCCTCTCCCATGGCTCCCACGGGCGCGGACATTAAGCTTGGCATTCAACCCTGACTACCCTCTCCAGCCACTTCTCCCTGGCTCCCAGAACACTTGCCGGCAGCTCTCGGAGCAGTCCTTTGCTCTTGCACATGCTGTGCCTCTGCCCGGACCGCCGTCTGTCCAGTCAATGACCAATGCGTCCACCATCAGTGCCTGTCACAGCCAAGCCGGGGCTCCTTTATTGTCAGGGATGGGAGCCACAGAAAAGGCTTTATTTACATGAGGAACCCGGGCCCTAGGGCCCCGAGAACAGAACCACTGGCCTTCCCCAGTGGGCCCCTTCTTAGCCCTGCAGGCTCCAAGGCCCCAGTCCACTTTGGGCAGGCATAAGGAAGGGCTGGCCTTCCATGGCCGGCGCCCCTCCTCCCCTGGAACCGGCCCAAGGCGCACCCCCAGGCAGACGAGGGCCCCAGGAGACGCGAAGGCTCGGGAGAACCAGCGGGCCGCGTCTTCACACGGTGACCTCGGCTTTGCTATTGGTGCTCAGGTGCCGGGGTCCGCGGCCCGCGCTGCCATAAAGGCCAGGGGGCTGTGGGCTGAAGGCCTCGGGCAGCTTCTCCACGCTGAACTGGCGCCGGGGCGCGTGGCCGGGCCGCCGGGGTGCGGGGGAGGCCTGAGTCGCCAGGTGGCCGCGGGGGGCGGGCCGGGCCTGGCGGCCGGCGATCCAGGCCTTGTAGTGACCGGACGGAGCGAGGCCCACGGGGGCCGCGTAGCCCGGCGGGGCCCAGGGGCAGGCGTCGAGCAGCGCGGGCAAGTCCTCGCGGGGCCGCGCAGCCCGCGCCGGGAGGGTCCGCGGGGCAGGTTCGGTGGCGGGAAAACGCTGGTAGAAGTCCTGTGCGGTGGCTTCTGCGGGGACAGTGGGGGCGAGCCAGGGAGAAAGGTCAGGCCCCGGGGGCGGGGCCCCAGCGACTCGCGGGATGGGGTAGGGAGAGGCCAGGCCGCAGGGGCGGGGCCTCAGCTTCTTTGGGCGGAACGGGGCGGGGGGGAGGGGGGGGTCAGGCCTCGGGGGCGGGGCCTCAGCGGCTCGGGGGCGGGGCGGGCCGGGGACCCGCCGCGGGAGACGCGGGTCTCCACGCCCGGGGCTCTGGCTGCCGCGGTGGGGGACCAGCCGGGTGGCCCGGTGAGGGGACGGGAGGCCGAGGCGCGGGAGCCGATTGGCTGCGTAGGCGCGATACAGAAGCTGGCTGGAGCGCGGACCCGCAAGGCTGGGAACTGTGGAACTGGAACGGGGACCCTGAGCCTTGTGATCTCGGAGCTTGGATACCCGGGGTGCAGCGCCCGGCGCTCCCCGCACAGGGCTCTCCGGCCACTCACCTGCGCCCTTGAGCGCGGCTGCCTTGAGGGTGGCGTACTTGGCGTAGTCGGGCTGCAGCGTCATGCTGCCACTGCCCTGCAGCCTGGGGCCACGCAGGGGTCCCGGTGTTGCTGACCCCAGGGGCACGTTGTTGGGGCGCTTCTTGTCTGGAGCGGGGAAAGGGAAGGGGAGACCCGGCCTGCTGACGGGAGGACACTCTCCACCTGCACGAGCACTCTTCACTGTCTTCACCCAACTGCAGTTGAGCGAGAGCTCGTGGGGCGGGGGGTGTGTGGGGGGGGCGGGGAGGGGGCTACTTGAGGGAGACTGAGAGAGGAACCTAACTTGACAGAATCTCCGGGCCTAGAGCAAGGGGTCTGGCTCCGAGTAACATGAATGACAGCAGGCTGCCCTGAGTGGGTGCTAGCCCAATGGATGACTCCCCAGCATGTCCAGCTTGGGCCAGGCACTGAGTCCCAGGACCTGCTTCTCAGGAGACGGAGCTAACGTTTGAGGCCGTTAGAACCCACAGAGGGGAGGGGAGGGGGCTTGCTGTGAAGCCTGCCTCACCAGCAAGAGGCCAAGAGGGAGGCTCCAGCCTGGAGAAAAAGGCCCAGAGGGGTCCACAGGCTGGTGCCAGGCAGAACCCCCCCCCCCGCCCCGGCCACACACACACACCCCAGCACGGAGTCAAGCCCTAGAACCACAGCCTGAGCCAGGGAACCCTGAATCTGGAACCTTCCTCACGGAGTCCCTGTGACTGGAAGTTGCAGGACACCTCAGCAGGGCTCCCTTCACCAGAGGAGCTGACCGGCTTGCCCAGCCCCCACTCGCACACCTGCAAGAGGCCGGCAGCTCATTCCAATTGCGAGACAGTCAGCTAAGAGCCCCTGCCTCCCTCAGCACACACCTTCCCCTGCTCCCAGGCCCACATCAGACAAGGGAGTCCCTGTGCTGTAGATCGACCTCTGCCGGTCCCCCAGCTTACACACCTGTGCTGTTGGGGGAGCCCCGGGGGAGGCCATCACCCATCTGCACCTGGACACAGCTACCCAGAGGTGGGCCCAGGGGTGGGGGCAGTGGCTCCTGGGGGTCCGGCTGCTTCAGAAGTTCTGTGAGTGTCCTGTGGGGAAAGAAGCATGAGAAGCAGCCCTCCCGACCGCCTGCTTCCCCACTGGCCAGGCCCTGGCCTATCTAAGGCCAGCAGCCACCACTCTGTCACCCTTTCGACCTCTCTGGGCCTCTGCCCTGCGGTTGATCTTACACATCTAGTTTCCACATCTGGTTTCCCCAACCTGGCCACTTCCAGAGCAGGTCAGGAAACTCTAATGGGGTCACGTGTGGTCAGGACTACCTTGTTTTTCAAAGACTCCCCCGCTCCCAGAGTCCATTCTCCAAGACCCATCCGAGTCGAACCTCCTCTCCCAGTGAAAGCTCTGCAAGTGTCTCAGGCCCCTGGACGGGGCTTGTGCTGTTCCCCGCGCCGACAATTTTCCTCCATCTCCTTCCACAAAACTCCTACTCACTCTTCAAACCCCACCAGTATCCCTCCTCTTCCAGGAAGCCTTCTTTACCTGCCAATGTAACTCCCTTCCCGCAGCAGGGGCTTCTGCTGGGTCCTGGGACAAAGCTGCCACACAGGCATGGAGGGGAGGACAGACAGATAAGGGGAGGGAGGAGCCAGGAGATCCCACAGGGGCAGCCCCTTCATCCAAGACTATGTGACCTTGGGCAGCCACCTCCCTGCTACCAGGACACCCAGCCCTACCCAGGTGTGACAGCTTCTGACTGCGCTTTCCCTGCAGACAGCCAGACCCAGCCTCCAGCCCAGCTGCCTTTGGTGCTCAGAATCCATGATTTTCTTCTGGTGCAGTCTGACCCTCCCTCCTTCTGGGGCTGGGGCCTCAAATGGCTGAAGCACCAAGACGCGCCCTGGAGGTGAGCCCTCTGGGGTAGGTGCTGTTTGGCTGCAGTGTGGCAGGACGTGCGTGAATGCCTGCCTGAGCTGATCTTCATGCCCTGCGCGCTCCTCCGCCGCCCGCCCCGGTGGTCCCAGCTCTGCGCCAGCACCCATCTGCCACTTCTCCCAAACACCTCAGTGATTTTCATGCCTCTGGGCCTCTGCATCAACTTTCTCCAGGGACAGACTCCAGCTCCCCTCCAAGCCCTCTGAGCTTGGAGGGGAGCTGACCATCAACCTCAACACAGTGGAATTAAGGGTGAGATTCCGGGGGAGCGGGGGCAGGGGTTCAGCACACACCCGCACATGAGCTTAAGTTGGGCTCCAGATCTCCCCAGAGGAGAAAATAAAGGGCACATGGGAGCTGAAGCCCAGACAGAGGAAGGGACAGGCCTAGGCCACACGGCACATCACGGGTGGGCCAGCTCGTCCTGATGCATCACCAGGCCTCCTTCCCCGCCCCCTGTGGGTGAAGTGGGCTCTAGGGGAACGTGTCAGCTAGGTGGCCCAGCCTAGAGGTGTAGACACCTTCACGGCCCTCAGCTCCAGCGACTCCACTCTGGTCAAGGACATGCCCTGACTTCTCCTCCTTGCCCAGCCCGAGGGACTCCAAACTCAGGATCTGCCCCCACGGCATGCAGGACCCAGGATGAGAGCCTCCACATCACCAAGGCAGCACAGCGGCTGAGCCCAGGGTCCCACTCCCAGGCTGGAGCCTCCCTCTTGGCCTCTGCCCTGCAGCTGTCCGGGAGACAGGGGTGCCACGGAGTGCCCGGGAAGCCCTCATCCCCTGCCCCTGAAGTCTAGGAGGCGGGAAGCCTCCATACCTGGCCTACCCAGGCATGGGGGCGTCTCTAAATACCAGCCTGTCGCACACCCAAGGGAGCCCAGACCTGGGTGAGGAGGGCACAGGCCCCAGTACATGGGGTGGCTGGGGACATGTCAGCGTGTGAGTGTGGGGGTGGGCGTAGAGTTCCAGGGTGAGGACACAGAATCCCAGAGTCCCCATTCGAGCTAAGACCCCACTTGTAGACCCCACTTCACACAAAGCTCAGACTCAGCTAGCCCCTGTCCTGGCCTCAGCAACAATGAATCTGTGTCCCCCACATTTCCAGCGCCTTCCTACACAGGGAGAGACCCTGACCGCTGTCTGGGATGGGGTGGGTTGTGTATTGAGTGGAGCGGGTGGGAGGAGGCCTTCTCCCCAGGGAAAGAAGGTCAGGCCTGAGTCACAGCTATGGGGGTGGGGTGGAAGGCAAGTGGAAGGGGAGGGGGAGGAGGAGGAGGAGGAGGAGGAGGAGGAGGAGGGAGCCGCAGGGGCGGAGGGCTCAGCACCCAGCTCCCTCCGGAAGGTCAAGGGGAGACGGTATCAGCTGTCTCCCTCCATGAAGTGGGGGTGGGGGGCGTCACAGACCTGGAGACAGAAACAGGAAGGAAAAACCAGGAGGAGGGGGCTGCTGAGAGGGCCAGAGTTTCCAGACGGGCGAGAAGGATGAAGGATGGCGAGGGGGCACCCACCGGTCGGGAAGGACCGTCCAGGCGGGGCGGGCGGGGATCCCGGCCCCGGGGCCCCGGCTGGCGCGCGCTCACCTGGTCACGGTGCGCCGCGCGCGCGGGCTGTGCGCCCTCTCCAGGCCCAGGCGCGCCCCGATGCCGGCCAGCACGAGCAGCGCAGCGACGCCGCACACCGCGTAGACGGCCGTGTGGCTGCGCTCGCGGCCCGGGTCCCGGGGCGCGGCGGCGTCGCGGGCACGCGCGGGGGGCCGGCCGGTCTGCACCCAGGCCGGCGTGTCGTAGTTGGAGCAGCGGCTCTGGTCGAGGCGCCGCGGCCCGTCGTGGCAGCAGAAGCGGTAGCCGCACGTGCCGCAGCAGAAGCTGTAGGCGCCCGAGCTGCAGTTGAAGGGCGGGTCCCACTGGCCCATCACGTCGTAGTAGCCGCGGCAGCGGTCGCCCCCGGCCGGGGCTGCCGTGCCGGGCTCCGCGGGCTCCTGCGCCTCGGGGGCCCCCGCGCGGCCCGACGGCGGCCGCGCCAGCAGCAGCGCCAGCCCGAGCGCGAGCCGGAGCCCCGGCGGGCCGCCGCCGCCGCGCAGCCCCCGCGCCCCGGCCCGCTCCATCGGGCCCGCGCCTTCGGCTACAGCGCCCCGCGCATGGCGGCGCGCCGCGGCTCCCTGCCGCCCGGCCTCCGGGCCGGCTCCTCCGCGCCCTCAGGGGCCGCGCTCCTCGGCCGTCACCTTCCTCCTGGGACCCCAGAGCCGGGTGGCCACGGCCCGGAGCTCGCGGGGCCGCACCTCCGGTGGGCGCGTCCTCCGCCGGCACTCACTTTGGACCCGAGCCCGGCAGTCCTCGCTCTGGGACGCCCCCCGGGGCCGGGCGGCGAGTCCTCGCCCGCGCCCCGTCCCCGGCCTCTCCCCGGGCCTAGCGGGTGTGCGTGGCCCGGGCCTAGCGGGGGCGGCGGGCCGCCCGACACCGCTGCCTTCCCGCCGCCCGCTCGGCGCTGCCCGCGCTCTGGCTGCGGCGCGGGCTCCGCGCGGGCTCGGGCGGGCGGGGGAGGGAGGGAGCGAGGGAAGGAGGGCGGGCGGGCGGGAGGCAGAGCCGGGGGAGGAGCGCGGCCGCCGCGAGGGGAGGGAGGGGGCGCGGCAGGGCCCGCACGGCCGGCCGCGGCGCCCCACCGGGGACCCTCCCCGAAGGCCTCCGTGAAACATTCCTCGGAACTGGGAGCTCCAGGGCCTTCAGTTTATGGCTCTCAGGACTGTTACTTCGGACACAGGCCCGCGTGAGTGCGCCTCTGTTTTACGGGTGCGGGGCCTTAGGGGACAGAGAGGTCCCGGGAGGGTCGTTGCCGCCCTCACCCCCTTCTTCCTCCTTCCCATCCTCTCCGTCAGTTCCGACCGAGACAGAAGTGTGACAGGTGGCAGGCCCCTTCCCCGCTGTGCGCCTCGGTTTTCCCGCCTCTCAAATGGGAAGGAAACCCGGAGCAAGGCCGCCGCAGAGGGCCAAGGTTTGGTTCTCTCCGCGCAGCCTGGAGCGCAGCGTTAGCCCCGGGGCGCGCGCCCTGGTCCCAGAACCCGAACTGGGGCCCTGGGGTGGCCCCACTTCTATGGCCATGGGCATGGCCTGGTCCGCGGCCTCCCCGGATCTCTTCGCTCCCCCAGGTGTGACGGGGAGGAGATTGGGCCGGACCCGGACGCCGATGAGGGGGCGGGGGCATCGGCGGACCCTCCGCCCCGCCCCCCGAAGGACTCTCGGGGGCTCTGCCTGCCCCGGGAGAAGGAGGCGGAAGGCCGTTTGCACTTGGACCCCGCACGGAGCCGTCCCATGGTGTTTCCGAAGCGGTTTAACTGGAAAATGTGACCGAGCCGTGGCGCCTTGCTTCTCTCTGCCTCAGTTTCTCGTCTTAACATCAAAAACTCTTCGGGGAGGGGGGTGGTGGGCAGATTCATAATGCACCCCTTCCAGGAGGCAGGGGTCAACAGGGTGCCTCCCACTGTCCAGACGGGAGCACCAGAGAGCAAGGGCTGGGTGTCCACTTCGCCCCAGTGTTCCCACACAGCGTCGGATCTGCTGAATGAATGAATGAATGAATGAATGATGTGACTTTCGCCTCTAGTTTTTGTCGGATTTGGGCTCCTAGGGCTCTCCCTGCTTCCCTTTGCATCGTGTCTTCACTCGGCGACTGGGATCAGCTTATAAAAATGGAGGAAGTGGAGGGAGGAAGAAGAAGGATTTACATTTAAAGGAGGATCAAGTCCGTGTGTTGCCGAGATGAGGGGCTGACAGGCTAATTTCAGGTATTAGTGCTGAGAGGCCCTCCCCCCTTGGGGTCCTTCCTTGTGCCCAGTCCAGAGATAGCCAGCTCCCTCCTCCTTCACCCACAACACTCTTCTGATCCAGCTCAGAAGACCCTACTCCATTAGAAGACTATCACAATTTTAGAGACAAAATAGATGAGCAAAGCAATGAAACGAAATTGCCTTCATCCCGTCACCAGCGACAACTGAGGCTAAAATATGCCCCACTTTACATACTGTGTTTTTAGTTTACTTTTCACTGTCAAACTTTCTCTTTGTTACTCTGTTTAGAACTTAGTCGCTGTATTTTCTGGTGCAGCCATTCCTGCTTCCCCGGCGGGGGCGGGGGGGGGGGGGGGGGAGTCCTAAAAAGGGACTCCATGGCACAAACTGTCCGATTTGTATCAGCGCCCCCCCCTTGCCCTCTAGGTTACCAGGGCTCTGAGGGGGACTGCTTCTTTCCCCTTTCTCACCCAATGGCTGGGCATTAGGTTTAAAGAGGCTTGTCTCTGTTCCCCTGAGACTGTGGCCTCTTCCCAGGTAGGGTGACCCTACTGGGCCCAGAGCTCCCAGTGCTCCTTCCTGGGTTATGTCCCTTCCCCGGGCCCCTCTCTTACCCCACTGTCCTGGCATCACTGGGTGCTCCGCTGAGATTCCACCCCATGTTGCTGCCATCAGGTGTGTGTGTGTGTGTGTGTGTGTGTGTGTGTGTGTGTGTGTATATAATCTCCATTTGTCCAGTGAAGGAGCTGGGTCCTGAATTCCAGTCCCCTGCCCCCCCCCACTGATGTCCAGCCTTCAGCTCCTCCCCACATCCGTGGCTTCCTCTCTATCTCAGTCTGACTCAGTTCTCAGCCAGCAACCATAGAGGCCCACATCTACTGGGCTTATGCCGTGCACTTATGCTCTCTCAATGTTAACACACAGCCTGGGGGCGGCAGGGGGAGGGGATCACATGCAGAGAGACAGACCACGGCTGGCTGACTGAGCCCTGGGATCTGGCCATTCACTCAGCTGGCACTGCCCTTCAGGTCCCTGACCGTTTGCTAGGCAAGGGGATCTAGAAATGGAGCAGCCCAGCTGAAGAGTGACCCCTTTGCCCAGGCTGCCCTCCCTGGGCCCTGGGGTCTTTCTCCACAGCAAGGTACCAGAGCACCCGCCTCTTGTCTCCTCTGCCTGCGCCCCCCCCAAGCCTGTGTCACCAAAAATCGCCCATTGATCCAGGCTTAAAATAACCCCTGGCATCTGCAGTGAGCCCCACGGGGCGGGCAGAGGATCCGTGTCTCTGTGCCTGAAGGGCACCTGCCCCGCCCCCATCTCTGAGTGCAGGCAGCTTGAGTGTGAGGGTGCCTACGTTTGCTCCCGAATGTGAGCGAGAGTGCATGTCTGGGGCCAGCCTGGTTATGAGGGCCTTCCTTCCACCACGGACATGCGCGTGCATGTGTGTGTCGGTGTGAATGCACCTGTGCACACATGTTCTTCCTTCGCTGTTGAGGCCTCACCTGGTGCCCAGCTCTGGCTGTGCAAGGTTCAGGGTCCCGAGAGGTCATGGACATTAGGGAAAGGCCGGGATGGGCCTCAGTGTCCCCATTTTATAGTGGGGGTCAGTGACCAGTCTGCCCAGCTCTGGGCCCGGGAATTTGGGATTTCCTAGAGACAAACCCAAGACCCAGAGAGCAGAAATGACTTTCTGTAACTGGCACACAGCCAGGAAGGACCAGGGTCTGGCTTGGAACCTGCACTGTGAGTCCCAAACCTGCTTCTGGCAGGTTTCATACAAAGCGAGAGCGCAGCTGGAGGACCCTGGCCCAGAGCCCAGGGAAGTGTCCCTACACCCTGATAACACCCTTCATGCCTGACAATGCCTGGTACGCCCTGACTCCTTCAGGAGCCTCTGGCCTTCCACAGGCTGTTCTCTGCTCCCGGAATGCCTTTCCAGCCCCTCCCACAGACAGCTCCTACTTATACTTCATTTTGGAGCCAGATTAAAGTGGATCGGAACTCCTGCTCTAATAGGACAGTCGACCCTCCTAGGCCTGTTTTCTTTCAGCTAGCACCTCTTTGGCAGGGCTGCAGGGAGAAGCCAATGCCCCCCCCCCCGCCATGGAGAGACACACAGGTACATGCTGTCTGGTGGGAGCTCCCACCACCGCGGCACTAGATGGGTGATTGCCATCATGGGTGCCATCCGTAAGCCTCAACAGTCACATTCCCAAGCCCATTTTGCTTCCATTTCTTCCATGATGGAGGGTTACCCAAAAAGCAGAGATTCTAGAGAACGATGGACTTCCTGCTAGCACAGATGCCTATAACCAGTACGGGGAGCGGGTCGGGAGGGGAGGGCCCGCAGCTCCTTTGTCTCTCTGAGAGGCAGCTTGTGACTCAGGCTCCAGCTGCCTGTAGGAGGGAGGGGGCGCCCAGGCTGAGGTCGCGAGGGAGCAGCAAGGGTGGGGGTGGTGCTGGGAGCGGGGGGCTTAGCCTCCAGTCCCAATTCCTCCGGCACCCTCTTCCCGGCGCTCCCCTCCGCTGCCTTAGAGAGTCGCGCTGCAGACATCACAGCTGGAATTCCCAGATTAACACCCCCGCCCCCGTAGTCTCCCCCTTCAGGACCCTCCAGAGGCCCTAGTGAATATGCAGATCTGGAGCTGGCCACTAACTCCCTACGACGGGAATAGATTCAGAGATGACAGAGCTCAGCGGAGGCCACACAGCGCGTCCACCCACCCGGAACAGGCCCTCCCTGTCCCGCCGGCCTGCCGGTTTCTGGACACAATTCTGAGGTCAGCTCCGAGCCCACAGCCCGGGCGGAGGCGTCTTTGCGCCCCCTCGACACAGGCACGTCGCTCCAAAGCCGAGGCCACGCCCTGCATCCAGGCCTCTTCTGGCACGGGATGCTCGTGAGGACGGGGACCCCGCGTGAGCGTGGAGGTCCAGGGTTTGGAGAAGGTCCTGGTGGTCGTGGTCCCGCCGCTCACCAGGTGCCGCCCTTTCTCCTCGCCACTCGGCCTTGAACCCACTCCTTTTGCTGGCCCTGGCCCCGCCCCTTTCCTACTCCCTGGAGGCTTGGGGTCCTTCAGCCCCGCCTCGCCCCCGACCCCGCCCCCAGCCGCGCCTCTCGCCCTGTCCCCGCCCGCTCCGGGCTGCCGTCCCCGCTCCCCGCGCTCGGCGGAGGCAGGTCTCGGTGCCACCTGCAGGGCTGACCGCAGACGCTGCGGAGATAGACTTTCGCCTGCCCCGGAGTCATCTTCTGCATCACAGAGTCTCTGCAGCTCGGGGGAGGGAGGAGATGTTCGGAGGCCCTCTGGGTCCCGGGACCACTGTAGCGTTGCCTGGGCAGCTTCCCCCCCCCGAGTGCCGGGAAAGAGGGTGAGCCGGGAACTGGGACATCTGTGTCTTCCCCGCTCCTCCCCGACCCTCCCTCCGCGGGACCCTGGGCAGTCGTTCCTCCCCCCTCCCCCCCCCACCACCTCCACCCTCGGGTCCGGACCAGGCAGCGGGCGAGCAGGCACAGAGTGGAGAGAGGGCAGCCTTCAGTCCCCGGTGAAGAAGAATGTGGCCTGAGCCACGCAAAAAAGAACAAATGGGAGTGAGCTCCCACCCTGTGCCCAGAGGAGTGCCAGAGGGGTCTGGTGAGACACTAAATGGTGGGGCTGGGGAAGCGCTCGGGGTTCCCTGAGGACGGTTGCCCCCCCCCATGTGTCGAGGGGCAGGCAGGAACACAGGAAAGGTTGTGACACAGCCCCACCGGGCACTCTGAGGCCAGGGCAACCCACCTCTCCACTCCCCCCTCCCCCCCCCACGCCCTGCTTCTTGACCCTTTTGCGCCCTCTCCTCTGCACCTTTGCACACAGTCCCCTGGGCCAGGAATGCCTGTTCTCTGCTCCATTCCTGCAGGAAAACTGGGCAAGACTCAGGGCATAATTCCTACTGTCCAAAGCAGTCCGTAGATGCTGGATCAGCCAACTCGCTGGCAGGGATCGCCCTGTCCTGTCATTGCGCCCCGCTCCATCTCTCCCACTGGACCAGGACCTAATGGCAGGGCCTGAGGCTGACCTCCAAGCATTGCCCGGAATGGCCCTGGCCCAGAGCAGGCATGTTCTGATCTGGTGTGATCAATGGGGCAGTAAACAAACGGCTGAGACTGGAGCCTCAGACCAGCTCTGGGAAACACTTTCCAGAGGAATTTCCGCAGGTTGGTGACTCTGGGCAAGATATGTCTGCTTCCCGGGGAAAGAAGGTGGAGGCACTCCAGGGTGAAGACCCCACCACTTGCCACATGACCTCTTTAATCCCCGAAAGCTGCCTGGCCCTTGCGCTCCATTTTGAAGATGAGGTGGCAGGCTCAGAGAGATGCCACCAGCTTCTAAAGGGAAGGGCTGTGTGAGACCATCCTCGCTGAGACAGCGGGAGGCAAGGGGTCAGGTCTTTCCTCCCTGGCCTCCCCAGCTGGGCCTCCCCACCCCCACCCTGAGCCCAGAGCCCAGGGCTGCTGGGCAGGAAGTGAAAGGTGCCTGCAGGAAGCCCCAGGAGGAACTGAGACTTGAGCCAGCTCCTCCTCCACCTGCCCAGGCCCTGGGGACCTCAGGGAAACCAGACCCTCCTTCAGGAAAAACTGGCCAGAAACACGGGCTGGGGGGAGGGGAAGCTGCTTGCCTAGGTTCCCACCCCAACCAGCATTTCTTCCAAAGTCTATCCTGGGTCCCCTTTACAGCAAAAAGAGACCAGTTGGGGAGAGGAATCTTTGAGGAGTGATGAAAACAAGGAGTAAAGCCTGGAATCGATCCCTGGAGTCAGTCGCCCCCAAGGAGGGCACGTGGGCCAATGACCTTCTGGACAGGGGCAGGAGCCTCTGTCTAGCCCAGCTCCACCACAGCAGGCATAGTGTGGCTTGGGCCAGATCCTTTCACCTCCTGGGCCTCTTTTTTCCTATCTGCAACATGGGACATCTAATCCCTGTTCGTGGACATGAACCGGTCCAGACTTTCGGGAAATCAATTCAACCAACAGGGGCCATAAAAAAACTCAGGCAAAGATTTATGTCAAGGAGGTGCTCCTGCCTCGGCTACAATAGTAAAAGCTAAAAACAACCAAATGCTCAAATGGAAAACCTCACAAGTGTTGAAAACCTTGTTGGCGAAGTGTTGAAAGACAAGAGAAAACTCACCAAATACAACAGCGAAGATATGAATTTATGTGTGTAGAATGATTACAATTACTCAGGAGAACCCACCCAGGATTATGGGTCATTTCTCCATAGACTCTACCCTGGGTTACTGCCCTGAATTTTCCAAAGGATCTACAAAATATGTGTCTCAATTTTTTTCTAATAAAAAAACATTTTTTTTAAAAAGCAAACAAGGGATGCCTGGGTGGCCCAGTCTGACTTGGGCATCTGACTTGGGCTCAGGTCAGGATCTCGGGGTCCTGGGATCAAGTCCGAGCCCCGAGTCCCATGTGGGGTTCCCTGCTCAGCGGGGAGTCTGCTTCTCTCTTTCCCTCTGCCCCCTCCCCCAACTCCTCCTCTCTGTCTCTCTCTCTCCAATGAATAAATAAAACCTTAAAAAAAAAAAAAAAAAAGGAAACAAATACCCACTGCTCCTCCTCCAGGTGCTGTCATTAAGATCAAATGCAGTAACTTCATGGAGCCTTCTTAGAAAGCACTTCCTGGGACACGGAGCCAGAGACTGGAGGCCCCTGAGTGGTGGGCTCCTTTCCCGGGGGCTAGGGGAGACTGACCCCCTCCTTACCCACATCTCCCCCTGCCTCTGCTCCTGGTTCTTCCCTAAGGGACCTCCCTTCTGTTATTAGCTGGATGGCAATGATGCCAAGTCTTCTCCCTCTCTGGGTCTCAGTTTCCTTATCGGTAAAATGGGGTGCGGACAAGGATCCTTTAAGGTTCTTTCAAGTCCTTCTCCTCTGAGGACCACAGGTCTGGAGGAGCACTTCGCATCCAACCCCCCATTTTTCAGAAATGGAAACTGAGACCAGAGGGGAAGCTGGGGTTTGTCTGGGACACAGTGGGGCCGGAGGTTTGCATGTCTGGACCCCAGAGGGGTTTTACCCACTCGTTTTACCCCCAGGGCTCAGCCCCCGGCTGTGGTGGAAAAGGTGAGTGGGAGGCAGAGGTGGCCAGGAACAGCACAGACGCCCCAAACCCGAGATGAAGTGGAGTGGAGGTCTGGGCCCATTCTGGGCCTGCTTCCCACCCTCCCGCTGACTGCCAGCCACCTGAACTTGTCCCAGCCACCTGGCAGCTTGCGGGAAGGGCACTTGGGATGAATTCAGGGAGGGAGTGGCTAGGAAGACTTAAATGTGGGTGTCAGGGTCCTGGGGGCTCCAGACTGTCTCCTGGGCTGAGAAGAAGGTGGGCCAGGAAGGGTGGGCGTCTGCCAGGCAGCCCTGCTGGGCAGGTCAGGGAGAAGTAGGCAGAAAGGCATCTGCTGCATGGAACAGAACATGTCCAAGGCCCTACAGTGGGACAAGATGGTACCCAAACTCCATCTTCTGACTCCTAGTCCATGTTCCTTTGGAGGGTGCTAACCTGTGACAAGTTCCGAGGACTGTCCAGGACAGAGTCCGGGTCACGAGGTTCTAACTCTGTGTAGGAGCGCCAGGGGGAGAGGCAGCTCCTGACCCAGCACGGCATGGTCCACAACTCGAGGAGATGGTCTCGGTCCCAAGCCCCAGAGCAAGGGCCCCTGCTGTCAGAGGAGCGATCCCACTGGGATGATGACCCCAGGGGCTTGCACAGAATGGCCAAGGGACCATAGCACTTGGGGCCTAGTGCTTCAGGAGGGCAGACCATAGAGAGAGGGAGCTCAAGGGACATCAGGCCCTCCGGTTCAAGGCCACAGGTCTGCTCTGGCCTCTGAACAAAGGCGCCCCTTGAAGGTCCTGGGCTTTTCCCTATGTACAGCTGAGCGAGCCTCAGAGGCAGCTGGGACTCCAGGTGGCCTCTGAGAGAGATGCTTGGCAGTGTGCCTTCAGCGCGAGCGTGCAGTCCAGCCCCACCGGGGCTGTAGACTTCCTCCCAAGTGCAAGCGTGGGGCTCTGGAAGCTGCTACCAGGGTGAAAATGGCATCGTAGGTCCTAGGAGATTGGGCCAAGCTCGGGGTTGACCCTAGGGTACAGATACCTGAGAATTAGCACAATCCAGGCTCTTTGTAAAAATCAAAATCATCCTGTATTAAATCCTGAAGCAAACCAGTCAGTTGGTTACTCATTGCTGCCGTTTGCATCAGTTGAAAGCAGGACAGCTCTGAGAAGCAAGTATTAAAGAAATACAACACCCAGCTATAAATTAAGCATCCTCCCACTTGATCCTCTTCCTAGATTCATTCTGGTTGATGGTGGCTTCCTGGCACTTAAAGAAAAACCTCCTACGCGGTGTGCCCCAGCACAGGAGCTCTGCCACAACCTTCGAGGGCTGCCAAAGATCGTCTGGTTTTAAGCCAAAGGCTAACATGCCATAGAACGCCATGCGCGCCGTCTGAGCCCTGTGGTTTGCAGTCTGTGGTTCTGCGGGGTTAGCTGGGGAGCAGCGTGGTTCCCAGAAAAGGGGCAGGTGGGCGCTGGGGTGAAGAGCCGAATCCAGCCTCCAAGCCCCTGGCTGACAGCCCACAGGGAGCACAGGGGCCACCTCCTGCCCCCTCCGTTGCTACTGTTGCTCAGGGCCGGCTGTCTTGGTGGTCACCAGCTCAGTGGACCCCAGCTCTGTGGCTGGCACGGGGACGCTGTGGGCAGGTGGGGTGTTGGCTGGGTCTTCTCCTGTTGGAGGCCAGACGGGAGCGGTGGCATCAAGGGGTCCCGGGGGGAGGAGGATGACATTGTCCAGGGCCTCTGGTGGGGGGAGGTGGGGAATGCGGTCAGGATGCCCTAGAGCCTTTCCCCGCCCTTGTTCTGGAAGCCTCACGGGAGGGACGAGGGACAGCCCTGGACTGAAGCCCCCCTGCAGGGGTGGGGAGGGGTGGCAAGTGATGGGGCCTTGCGACAGGAAGTGCAGAGGGGGCTGGCGAAATGGGAAGTGCAGGGGGTAAGGGAGAAGCGTGGGAGCCTTGGGTCTCTTGCTCGGACAGCTCTGGGAGGCTGGAGTTGTGTCCCTCCCGGGGACCCGGCCGGCCGGAGGTCCTCAGAGCCCGCCCCCCGCCCGCGCTCCGCCCCCGCCGCAGGCCTCCCCGTGCCCAGGGGGGCTGGTCTCCCTGCCACGGCCCCCGCCCCCCCTCGGAGCTTACCGTGCGGGTGCGGGGCCGGGGCCCCCGGGGGAGCCGCCGCGTGCGGCCGCCGCCGCCACCTCCAGCTCAGGAGGCCCACCAGGACCAGGGCCAGCGCCAGGCCCAGCAGCGCGGGGGCGCCGAAGAGCAGCGCGGGCAGCGGCAGCGCGGTGTCGGCCTCGGCGGCGGCCCCGGGACCCACCGACTCCTGCGGCTGCAGCGCCGTCCCGGGCGCCAGGCTGCTGGCCCCGGCTGCTGGCGGAGGGGACGGAGAGGGAGGGCAGGGGGTGGAGGGCAGGGACGGCCGGGTAGGGGAAGGGTCGGAGGGAGGCGAGGCTGGGCCAGGGAGGGGAGGGAGGGCCGGGCGGGATGGACAGGGGGAAGGGGAAGAGAGGGAGCGGTGAGGGCCACGTGGGGACCGCCGGCCGGCCCCCATCCAGGGCCCGGCTTACAGCCCCCCATCAAACCGGCCACCGCGCCCCCTCCCCATCCTGGGGCAGGTGGGGGGGGCCATGCCCGCGGCTCCAGGGTGTGGCAGAGGCAGCGGGACCCTCCTCCTCCTCCTCCCCCCTGGCTGCCCCCGCTGACCAGCTGGCGGAGTGGGTGGACTCTTACCCGGTCTGGGTTCTGGCGTCCGGAAGAGCTTGCAGGCCACGCAGTTTCGGACCAGAGGGTCAAAGCACTCGGCCTGGACACACTGCGTGGGGGCCGGGCCGTCCCTGCCCCGCCGGCTCCTGGCACCTCTCCTCTTGCTGCCCATGCTGCCTCACACCCAGCGGGGACTGAGCCTGGCTTCGGCGGCCAGAGAGGAAACCGGGAGGGGCCACCACCCACTGCGCCCCGCCCCACCCTCCTGCCTGCTAGGGTGGGACCACTCTCCGCCAGGGCCCCAAGGCCCTGCAGCCCACACCTTCTCTTTCTACCTGTGGTTCCTCCATTCAACCACTCAACCATCACCCCCAGACGCCGGCTGGGCGGGCCCTGTGCTCGGGGCGCTGGGACAGTGCTGGGTGCAGACCTGGGCCTGCTCTTGGGCAACAGATGGGCCCCTGTAGTCAGGACACAGCCCTCTGGGTGGCCTCCTCTGTCCTGCTCCCCAAGGGCCAGCCCACAGCCCCTGACAATCCCCACCAGCCATGTCCTGCTCACCTCACCTGCGCCCTCCTCTGGGCATCCGCCCTGCCCTTCCCGGGCCGAGCTGGTTCAGTTCATCCAATGCGTCCTGAGAGCCCGCTGTCCTAGGGAAAAACGATGCCTCACAGCAGCCACGCAGGGGGCAGGAAGGCTTTGTCAAGGAGGTGATGATGAGAAGGCATTTGCCGGATGGAGCGAGGTCTAGGGGAGCATGACAGAGGAGGAGGCCAGGAGTGCTGGGTCAGAGGGCTGGGCGGGGGCCTCAGCTGACGGTTAGGGAGCTTGGACTCTGGCTGAGGGCACCAGGGAACCCTGCAGGGCCTTGAGCACACAGCGCCATAGTCGGATCTGCGTGATGGCCAGCAACCTCTGGCTGGAGTAGAGGGCACAGCCTGGGAGGGGGAGGGTAGCCGAGGGTCCAAGGACGGACAGCTCAGTCTCCAGATCCTACGCAGGAAGATCAACAGATGAGCAGACAGACCGACCAAGGCCCGGTGGGCGGCCTGCCCATCCCAACTCCCTTTTCCCAGGGGTGTGTATGTCCTGGCCTGCTTGCTTCTGTGTCTCACTGAGGTCGCCTCTGTCTGTCTCTCCCGTGTTTGGGTTCCCCCACCTGTCCGTCACCCGTGTCTCTCAGATTGAGTCTCAGACACACACACGAGCCCCTTCTGCCTTCCTTGACGCCTGCTGCCCTGGCAGAGAGCCTCAGCACGGGCATGGTGGGCCATACCAGACCCCCAAGCCCTCAGGGCTGGGGAGCATAGAGGCAGAAGCTACCGTCCAGGGCACAGGGCAGAGGCTTGGGCACAGGAGTGGATCTTTAGCAGCTGCAAGGGGGACAGAAAGCTTCCAGGCAGAGAGACTGGCAAGGGCAAAGACAAAGAGAGGTAGGAAGGGAAGCTTACTCTGGGGACAGGCATGGCTGCCGCCTCGGGGGATGCTGGGAAGGCGGGCAGCCTGAGGCTGCAGACGTGCTGGGCCTCAAGCCTCAGGCTCCTGGGCGGTGGGGAGCCCCAGGAGGTACGAGTGCAGGGAGAGACTCTCTGAGCCGTGCTTCAGAAGCGACCCTCTCTCTGGCTGCTGTGAAGTTGGAGACAGGACACCATGGTCCAGGGCAGGGGAACCATCTAGAAGTTGTTTAGGAGGAACAAGTGATGCTGTGGAGTGAGGGGAGCAAGGCTGGGCCCCAGGTTTCTGGCTCAGGGGACTCTGGGGTCTCACACAGACCCCTGCGTCGGCCGGCCTTGAGGAGCCCTGGCCCACTGCCTCTCCGGCCCCTGCCCACGGGCCAACAGCTCCCTGGCAGGAAGGTGTAGGCGTCAGGGCAGCTGCAAAGGAGAAGTGGGTCTGGGGTGGTGGGTGGGGGTGTGAGTGTGGGTGTGTGGTGAGGGGGTGGGGGGGCCAGGAGCCTGCAGAGCAGCGGGGGCAGAATCCCCACCCCCATCACTAGTGGTGCTGTTGCTACCTGTCACCCTGAGGATCTCAGAGCCCTTACATGGGACCGGGCACCTCATTTAACCCTCATTCCATTGGGCAGAGCAGATTGAGTCTTCTGGGAACCTGGAGTGAGGAACCTGTCCCTGGGAGAAGGTGGGCCAGTGGGGCTGGTCTGGGGTCACTTACACAGGCCTCCGGGGGTGCAAGTCAGAGGGGGGAGTGACTGTTTACCCGGGGCCTCCTAGGTGCCGAACGGGGCACACGCGTGCCCAGGACAAAGCAGTCAACGGCGAGAGGCGGGTGCAGGTGCCTGACCTGGGACAGACCTTCTCACCCTCGACTCCTGAATGGGAAGCAGAGGGAGGCCTTGAATCTCGACTTCACAGTTAAGAGAAATTGCCCGGACAGACCAGCGTGATAAATGTTAGGTTAAATCCTCAGTGTATTCCTTATTTTGGTTCACATCTCTGAAGTCAAGATTATTAATTTCTTTATTCATGTTTTCTCCATCACTTCTTTTTTTTTTTAAATATTTATTTATTTGTCAGAGAGAGAGAGAACAAGCAGGCAGAGGGGCAGAGGGAGAGGGAGAAGCAGGCTCCCTGCTGAGCAAGGAGCCCAAGGCGGGACTCGATCCCAGGACCCTGAGATCACGACCTGAGCCTAAGGCAGGCGCTTAACCATCTGAGCCACCCAGGTGCACAGGAGTTAAAACTTTCTAAAATCAGTGTGGTTCTTGCAAATTTTCCTTGTTCTTTTGATAGTATTTATGATTTTATTTTATTATTTTTTAAGATTTTATTTATTTATTTGACAGAGAACGCACAAGCAGGGGGAACGGCAGGCAGGCTTCCAGCTGGGCGGGGACCCCACGTGGGACTCGATCCCAGGACCCTGAGGTCACGACCTGACCCGAAGGCAGCCACTTAACCGACTGAGCCACCCAGGCGCCCCATGATTTTATTTTTTTAAAGTAATCTCTGCACCCAATGTGGGGCTCGAACTCACAGCCCCGAGATCAAGAGTCTCACTCCACCGACTGAGCCAACCAGGCGCCTGATACTTTTTATTTTAAATACTCTGATATCATCGCCTCAAAGGTCCTGAGTAGAAAAGGGACTTTGTTGCCGAGAACCCATCTAACGGAATGTCTGTCAGTGTTCTCACGTTTATCGCTCACCGATGACTTGTTTTACAAAGATAATTAAGTTGGGGTCTGTCAGGGAAAAGGAAGTCTCCCATGATCTTTGTCCCTGAAATTCCCCTCAAAACACCCTCCCTTTATGCACAAACAATGAATCGTGGAACACGACATCAAGAACTAATGATGTAATGTGTGGTGATTAACATAACAATAAAACATTAAAACAACAACAACAAAAACCACCCTCCCGATGGCTCTGACACAGGCCGCATTATGACGTCCGGTTGGTTTCCAGATGGCGAAGCCGGGGGCAGAGGGAGGACCCAGCGTGTCAGGGGTGCTGGACAGGGTGTGTGCCCGGCCGGCTGTGAAGCGTGGCCTGCGCCCTTCGTGCCTCGGGGACGGGGCAGGGGAAAGGAGGAAACTCTGCCACTTGGACAAGCTCGGTGTTACTCGGGGGGGCAGTCCCTGGGGGACAGAGGGGCCCAGCCCCCCAGATCTAGATGTGAAAGTGCTCGGAGACCCAGGGTGCACGCCTTACGTAAAAATTATTTTTACTTGTAATTCTGTGAGTAATACCTGAACACATTCTCATGAAAAAAACCCTCAAATAATACAGAAGGCTGTGAGCAAGAAGGGGCATTTCCCTGCTATCCCCAGAGGGAGGCCTGTTCTCCCTCTGGACTTCTTCATCCCATCCTGTTTTGGGCCTTTATTTTTTCTTTCTTTTTAAAATTTTTTTTCTTAAAGATTTTATTTATTTATTTGACAGAGAGAGAGAGAGAGAGAGACAGAGCGAGAGGAACACAAGCAGGGGGAGTGGGAGAGGGAGAAGCAGCCTTCCTGCGGAGCAGGGAGCCCGACGCGGGGCCCGATCCCAGGACCCCGGGATCATGACCCCAGCGGAAGGCAGACGCTTAATGACTGAGCCACCCAGGCGCCCCCTGTTTTGTGCCTTTAAGTTCTCTGTTAAGTGCCTGCAGAAAAGCAGGTTTTATGATTCATAAAAGGGGCCGCGCCGTGTGAGCTGTTCCGTGGGCTTCCCTGCCCTCCTCAGCCGGGTGGGCTCCCTCCTTGGTCTTTTGTATTTTGTCACAGGCGTGGTCGGGGGCCCCAGAGTAGGGAGTCCCTTTGCCTTTCTCCTGTATGTATCGCTGACACACAGGACACTTTTAGAAAGATCCTCTCCTTGGGGACAGTGGGAAGAATGTGAGGACACAGAGATGCTGAGGGGCAGGAGAGGCAGAAGATCCATACAAAGTCTTTGTGAGGCTGCAGAGCCCCCAGCCCCTTTCCCCGTGACTCCAAGCTCTGCAAGGAGGCAGGCGTGCCTTCTATGACACAGTTCTAAAATCCTCGTCCAGGTTTTCACAGGCCCAGGCTGCCCAGTCTCAAGCCCTCCCCGCCCCCCCCCACGCACATACACCCGCATGCACACTCACATGCACAAAGCGTGCATGCGCGCACGCGCACACACAATCCAGCACACCTCAGGGCTGTGGCCCAGGGCGGCCCAGCAGTTCTCAGCATGGCCCTGGGATGGGGGGGGACACAGGCCCTCTCTGGGAGGTCAGAATGGAGAGCCCAGGCCCTTAGTATCTCAGCCACAGGGAGGAGAGTCCCAGCCCCCCCGGGGGGGCTAGGCCTGCGGGTGGAAGGTGGAAGGCTGTGAGGCTGGGGTGGGGAGGAGGGAGAGTGGGGAGCCTCCCCAGGGGCTGGGGGGACAAGGGCCGCGGGCTCTGGGGCTCCCTGCAGCCTTTTGGCCCTGTATGAATGCTGCACAGGCCAACTCGGTGAGCAGACACCTCCCTTCATTCAGCAAATACTTACTGAGACTTACTCTGCACCAGGCACTGTTCTAGGTTCTGGGGAGAGGGCAGGGAGCCACAGAGACAAAAATCCAAATGGGGAAACCGTATGGATGAGGGGCTGAGAAGTGCTGGGGAGAAAAATTCAGGAGGGAAGGGTGTCAGGGAGGGCCCGGGAGTCAGGGCAGGCCTGGTGAGATTTCCGAACAGAGGGATGGAGGCGAGAGTGACCCCCCAGGATGTCTGAGGAGGAGCAGACGAGGTCCAGGGTCTGGGCACAGTAACCAGGAGAACGGCAGTGCCCAGTACCGACTGACCTCCTGCCCGGCCCTGTGCCCTGCATGAGCCCATTCCCCTTGCCTCAACCCTGTGGGGGAAATTCCCACTTTACAAAGAGGAAAGCAGGCTCAGGAGGATCAGGGATGAGCCAGGCAGCCCTGAGCTCTCCCACCACACACACATCAGTGGAGTCCCCTCCTGGGCAGCAGGTGGAGGGGGGAGGTCAGGTGCAGCCCTAGAAAGCCTGCAGCCAAACACAGGATGACCAGGTGCGGGGAGCCCCCTGGCCTTGCAGGGCCATTATGCAAGCCAGACCAGGCATCCACCCAGTGTTAGCTCCCAGGGGCCCCCAGATGCCTTTGGCTTTCCTCCTGATGTAAGAGGGTGGCCCCAAGGAAGGCTGCCTCCTGGCCTCCTGGCCTCCTGTCCAGGTCGGGGCACTGGGGCTCCCCACCCTCTCTCCCTCCCAGAGTTGGTCCTCAGCAGCCCTCAGTCCAGAGGGCCACACTCAGGTGGGACGCAGATGTGGGCAGGTCCTGACAACCCACCACATTGTCCCCAATCTCCACCCCCCCCACCCCTTAAGTCTCCAGGTGTCTATGAGAAGTCTTTCCACACTGACTGCTGCACTCTTATGGCCCCAGGGGAGACGGAGGGAAGGAGGGTAAGCCAGCAGGTGCCCTGTGGAGAGGGCCCCTTTCTGCTGGAGTCCTGTCCAGTAGGCCTGGCCCAGCACCAGATGTGTGAGGGGAGGGGCAAGCTGGGGCAGGCCTTTATCTCACGAACTCCCCAGCACGCCACCCTGCCCACCACCCCCTGGGCACAAGCAGCCACGGGGCATGCACAATGTCAGGCTCTTTGGTTTCTCTGAGACTTATGAGAACCTCAAGAGGCTGTGGGGACAGGAAGACAGGAAGTGAGCTGCCCCAGGTCACACTGCAGGTTGGCCACAGACCCCAAGTCAGTGAGACTCAAGGGCTGGGTCCTTTCCCACTGCATCACTTCCCCTCTGTGACCAGGTCGTCCTGTCGGAGCCCCAGCCCGAGGCTGCCCCTGCCTCTGTTCACTGAGGGGTGAAGGAGACACAGGTGCCATGCTGCTGAGCCCCCTCCTCCCTGGGAAGGCTCTGCTTCCTTGGCCAGGGTGGGAAATAGCATTAGATCGGGGCCAGGACACACAGGCCCCGGCCATCTCCTACGAAGAATGTGAGCTCCCTGGGGTGCGCCCAAGGAACAAAGGAACCTGTGACTTGAACAAGCCTTGCCCCTCTGAGTGCCCCGGATACCTCATCCGCACGGCGGGGCCCAAACCCCACTCCTGCCTCCGTGTACTCAGACAGCATGGACCCGGCAGCTCCCAGGTCCAATAGTAAAGCATCTCCTGCAGGAGCCTCAGGCCGCCCACCCATTCAGATTGGTAGCCCACCCTGTGTCACTGCCTCCAATGTGACCATCTTGTGACCAAGGCCAGCCTGAGAATTCTGACATTTGCTTAAAGCATTCTGTTTAAAATAATGGCTTCTTGGGGCTCCTGAGTGGCTCAGTTGGTTAAGTGTCTGCCTTCAGCTCAGGTCATGATCTCAGGGTCCTGGGATCGAGCCCCGAGTCGGGCTCCCTACGCAGCGGGGGCTCTGCTTCTCCCTCTGCCTCTCCCCCTGCTTATGCTCTCTCTCTCTCTGTCAAATAAATAAAATCTTTAAAAATAGATACATAAAATAAAATAATGGCTTCTCCTTCTCAGTCCTGAGACCAGCTGGGGAGAAAGGCATTCATTAGCCTGATCTCATCCTACAGACAAGGAAACAGGCTCCTGGAGGATAAAGTGACCGGCCTAAGGTCACGAGATCCATAAGGAGCCAAGCACAGCCTCTCCCAGCTCCGTCCACCCTGCCACAGCACCAAGCACCCATTCCAGGCACCACTGGGGCATAAAGACTGGTCTTCCATTACTTCGCTTGATGGAACTGCCTCCCAGCGTCCCTGGCCTCCAGACCGTGCAGAACAGCCGCTCTTGCCTGGCCAGGGGCACAGGCCTGGGAGGGCTGCCGACTGCTGTTCAGAGCTGCTCAGCTGTGCTGTGAGGCAGATGCAGCCTCTCGGTTCCTGGGCCCCTGCCAAGCTCGCTGGAGCTGGCAGCCGCGACAGCACTGAGTCCCCCCCGGCACTTGGAAGGCTCTCAGATCCTCGGCTGGAGTGTGATGCCACTTCTCTTGTTAAATGGCACCAGGTGGCAAAGAAAACATGGCACAGGGACCAGAGAGAGAGTGTGCCCCGTGCCAGCTGTGGGGAGGCCAAGGGGTATGGGGAGACCCCCTGGTCTCCAACAAAGTGCCGTGCCCAGCGGAGGCAGGCAGGCTGTGTCCACACTGCCCTCCTCTTCTGCTTGGATACCTGCTCCATCAGCTCCCAGGGACCTACCCTGCTTGCACCCCGTCTCCACACTGCCCTGCAAAGCCCCACCCTCTCCGGCCCCGGCTACTGAGGAGCTGAGACAGGGCTGGTTCCTAGGGGGCACCGGGGCCTCTGGCGATCCCGCCCATCCCCTCAGAGACCAACACACCTCTCACCTCGGCCTCTTCCTTCAACCCTGGACGCAGCAACCTCACCACGGGAGCTGGGCTCCCTTCCCCAGCGCCGAGGAGCCCCAGGTCTGCAGTCATATTCTCCCTGGCTCGGGCAGTGCTCCCACCCTGCTCCTCGCCCTCTCCTCCCCCAGGCCTGCCCCTGTCCTGAGGCGCGGACCCCAGCACATGGGAGCGGCTCCTTGAGACTGCCCTTCCTGACGGCTGCTTTCTCAGTCAGCGCCTGCCCAGCAGAAGCACCAGGACCTTTGTCCAACCATTAGGCACCTAAGAAAACGACTGGAGGGAAGAGCAGAGGGGGGTCTGGAGGCAGCCGCCTGGTTAGCTGTGTGACGTGGACCCGCCTCTGGCCACTTCAGTCCTGGCTCCTCGAGTGTAAGTAGGGAAACAGTATCAACCTCGCAGGTCCGCCGGGACGGGGGTGGGGGGGTGGGGGTGGCACAGGAACGGCTGGTGAGGAGACTAAAGCATGCAGTGCCTTGCTGCGTCGCGGACACGGGGGACCTCAACTGGAATCTTCGCAGCTGAGGTTCTCGGTGGGCCCGCGGGGTGGCCTCCAATCAGCCAGGTGTCTGGCTGCCGGACCTTACTGAGCACTGGGCGTGCAGCGCTGGGCCAGGCTCAGGCAGGAGCCCCGGGAAAGGAGAAAGGCAGGCCCCGCCCTCATGAGTTTCAAGTTGGCCCCACTTCATGGAGAGCATGGGCTCCGGCTGTGATGGCAAAGTCAAAGCAGAGGCCCCGCGGTGCCAGCCCTGCCCCGGGCACCAGGCAGGGCCCAGCCCAAGCCAGGTGGGGGGCAGCGTCATGGTCCAAGGGAGCCCAGACCCGGCTCTCCTCCTGAGGTCCTGTCCACCAGCCTGTGTGCCCAGCTGGCTGACCGGATTCCTGGATTCCAACCCTGGCACTTCTGCAAATTCTCATTAGACCCAGAGGAGACGGGGAGCCATAGTCACGGTGCAACCTCCGGCCGCCAAGCCGGGAGCCAGCCCTCCAGACAGCCTCTCTCACATAATTCCCACAAACATATCAATTCACACAATTCCCACAAATGTATCAATTCATAAACAGTGTAATTCCTGGGTTTGCACCAGCTTTTGAACCTAGCTCCGTGGGATTTCACACAACAGTTACCGTTCACTGAGCGCTTAGCTGGTACGGGGCAAGGCCTTACTGCAAGGGATCATGGGACACACGGAATACAAGTGGAGGGAGAAATACAGCTGCAGGCTTGTCATTTCATTCAGTCCTCGCAATGCAGCAAGGACACTAGAACGATCTCCATTGCACACCTGGGGAACTGAGGCTCTAGGAGGCCACGGCAGGCTCTGTAAGGCTGGCAAGGCTAGGATGTGGGGTCAGATTGGGTCGCAGAGTCCAAGCTCCCCTGCCCGACCCTAACTGTCCGGAGTCAGTGTCCTCATCTGCACAGTCAAGGTGGTGGAGGAGACCAGGGGTTTTCAAACTTATTTTTGAGCCATGGACGCTTTGTTCAAGCGAAGCCTGAGGTGGAGAGGGAGCCCGGCCGGTGGATGAAGAGCATGGCGGGGAGGGGGCTGCATTCCCACCAGCGGGGCTCCGAGGCTGGGCCGTGCGGGGAACCGACCGCTGACCCAGAGCCCGGCAGGCAACAGCGGAAGTCTCCCGCGCCAGGCACCGGGCCGTGGGGAGGGCCAGCTCGGGGGGCCGGCGGCTCTCACACGTCCTCCAGGGCGGGGTTCTCAGAGCTCCTCAGCAGGGACAGCAGGTTCAGGGCCGAGACACCGGGCACGTGGCCCGCGCAGATCTGCAGCATGCGTACCAGGCGCTGGGCCACCGCGGCTCGAAAGCCTTCCACCTGCAGAGGGAGAGCGGAGCACAGGGGTGAGGCAGATCCAGGCCAGAGCAGCTGCACAGGCTGCCAGAGGGGGGCTGGATTCGGGCACCACTGCCCGTCACGGCCAGGCCCCTGTCCGCAGCACTCCTCACCCAGCAGCTTCCAACTGCTCCGGCTCACAGAGCCTTCAGATGCCCTCCAGGGACGCCACAGGCGACGGCCCCTCCTCCAGGGGAAACAAAGCTTAGCAAGCCGGGCTGGCGAAGTAGGCAAAGTGTCTAGTGGCCGCCCGAGCTGGGATCTGAACCAGAGCGAGTTCCAACCGACGCCCAGGAGGCAGAAGCTCCAAAGGCTCCTTACCTGGGAGCGAGGAAGATACTCCCAGGCGTGGAAAAGAGGAGTGGACACAGAGTGGCCCTCATGGGGACAGGGAGGTGCCATCAACAGAGTTCCTTTACCAGGGCTTTTGAAGGCAGGGGCCCAGAGGTGCTGTGGGGTGGGGTCAGGTAGGGCGGGCAACACTGACCCCGGGGCCTGGCGCCAGGTCGGTGCCTGGTGAAGGACAAACGATACTCGGTTGCCCTACCCTGCCAACGGCCGCCTTAGGAGCATCTTGTGCTCCCCCTCTAACTGAGGAAGGGGGCCTTGCCGTCTGACCAGTCACCATAAATATTCCAAATCCAGAGGTGGCTGTCATTCTCACCGACTCTCCTCTCAGCAGACCCTGGTCTGCCACAGCGCTCCCCCTCTCCAGAATGCTTCCCACCTGCCCCCGGGAGGCCACACTCCCCCCCTCACCTCCTCCCACCTCCCAGGCTGCTCCCTCCTGTCGCATATCTAAGTGCTGCCCCTGCCCACGGCCTTGGCCTTTGCAGGGCTTCCCCCCACACACTCCGTGGAGACCTCATCCAGTTCTGTGATCTAAAACCATCTCACTGCCCACGATGCCCAAATTACATCTCCAGACCCTTCCTCCGAACATCAGATGCACATATGTGGCTCCCTACCCGAGACAGCCTGATCTTATTAGCATGTCCCCAGTGGAGTCCCTGAGGGTCCTCCCAACCTGTCCCCCCTGCAGTCACCCCATCTCAGCCAAAAGCAGCTCCATCCTAACAGCAGCTCAGCTGAAAACTCCAGGGCCATCCTGAGTCTCCCTTCTCCCATGTCTCATACCCAGGCCACCCGCACAGTCGGTGGGCTCCACCCTGGAAAAGCCCCAGTATTGCAGACGGTCCTGCCTCCCTCTTCTCTGAACACCACGGAGCCCAGGCCACTTCTAACTTTCAGAAACAGCCCCCCGGCCATTTCCTCATTTCTGCCCCTGCTTCCCTTCTACATACTCTCCTACCAACACCCGCCTCACATAAATAGAAAAGAAAAGAAAAGAAAAGTAAAGTAAATAAAGCCAGGTCAGGCCGCATCCCTCCCTGCCCCCACACCCTCCCTGTGGCTCCCGGTTTACCCAGGGCGAAAGCCACAGCCCTCACTGAGGCCCACAAGGCCCCCCTCCTCTGGCGACGCGGTGACTCTGGCGCCTCCACCACTACTCTGCCCTGTGTTTGCTGCGCTCTGGCCCTCGGCCTCCCCGGGGGGAGCCTGGACACACCAGGCAGGCCCCACACGCCAAGCCTTGGCACTTGCTGTTCCTCCGGCCTCTTGTGCTCCTTCCAGGGCCTGCCCTCCTCCCGTCTTCAGCTCTTCCAAGGTCTCATTAATGGTCACTCCTGTCAAGGCTGCTAAACCATAACCGCTTTACCACCTGACGTGCCACATCCTCACTTTCTAACACGTCACACCCTTGACTTCTTTACTTTGTTCCCTCCACGACAACAGAGCAGGGATATTTTTCTTCTTCTTTCACTCTTTTGTTCTATGCTGCGTCCCCAGTGCTTGGCACACTGGACCTAAGAAGTCTTTGTTGCCGAAATCCTCGCCCTCTGAGTTCTGTGGCTTTGCCCCCCGAAATATACCTCCGAGCCGCTGTTGCTGCTCGCACCCAGGCTCCCCGGCTGGCCTCCTGCAGCATCCTCGACCCCCAAGCCTCGTCCCTGGCCAGGCCTCCTCCAATCCAGAAATGTGGCCCCAAACCCAAGTCTGAGCACATCAGGCTGCTCCCGTCACCTGCAGGAACGACTTCATCCCACCACCAGGCTGCCAGGTCTCTGCAAGTCCTTCTGCTGTGGCACACTGCACCTGCTGGTCTAGCTCACCCGATTCCGAGGGGGCGGGCGCAATGCCTGGCTCATGTGTGCGCCCAGGGAACGGCACAGGGCCCTATCAGCGACGCTTGGAAATAGTCACTGCGACAATCCCTCAGCTTCTTGAATGTGTTTCTTCATGTGTAAAAGGGGGCTCAAAATTCCTGCCCCGCAAGGCTTTAAAATACAGCGAGGCTCAAACTCAGGTATGTGGAGTGTGCCCTGCAAAGGACAGCACAGGGACGAGGAGTGATGACTGTCCAAATGCCAGGTGCTTCGTCTCAGGGAAGGCCAGCTGCTGCCAGCAAACAGACAGGGGGCCACAGGCCTTTTCCTGGGCGCTCAAGCTCCCGAGACCCCAGGACCTGGTGTGGCCTGCCACCTACTGGCTACAAGGAGGACTGCACCACACAGCACCAGGTTCAGGGACACTACAGCCGGAACCAACCAAGGTTTGAGGTACCTGAGCTGTGGAGCAAAGATTAGGATTCCCCTTTGGAGATAAGGAGATGAAGGCTGCAGGTAGGAGAAGTGACTTGTTCAAAGCTACAGTCAGCAGACTAGGAAGGGCAGGAGACAGCCGTTTGCAAACCCGCGGGCTCTGCCGCTAACTTACTAGCTGCATGGCTGAGCAAGCAGGTCTTGGGTTTCTGGGGTATGTGGTGAGAAAAGCCCGGACGGGCAGGCCCTTGGGGCGTGCCCCAGGCCTCAGTGTCCTATCTGACACCAGAGTCCTGACTAAAATGGTCATCAAATACGAAAAACGAGTTGATGACAGAGTAGGGTGTGCATCTTTATTGACGCACTGAGTAAGGAGAGCTGCCCATCTCCTTCCGAGATGGAAACATCCGCCATTTCTCCTGGTAAAACAGCCCTAGCCCCTGCTAGTACTACTGACATCTCTTGCCTTTATTCATAATGCTAAATTCCACATAGAGTTTAGTGGGAAAGAAAGAAGTATTTTCTTCTTGTACAAGTTCACAGATCCCCCGAATTCTACCCTCAGTCCAGGGGGGTCCACAGACCCATGACTAAGAACCCCAGGTCTGGGTGGTGATAACGGACAGGGTGCTGACTCATCTCTCTCTGCATGACATCACTTGGCCTTTGGGAATAGATGCAAGACCCAGAACAGAGTAGAAATGAACCTCAAACCCAATAAACAGACCCCAAAACTAACTGAGCAGGTCTGGTACGTGGGTGGGGCGGCCCAGGCCCTGGGAGCCCTCCGAAGACCACCCAGAGGAAGCAGCTGCTGAGCACTTTTAGCAAAAAGTCAGGATTCATACTGCAGAAAGAGAAGCTGAAAAGCAAAATGTATCAGCAAAATGGAAATCTGCTCTGCTGTGCTCATAATTGGGATCACCTCTGAGAAACACCAACAAAAGTGAGTTGGGGCAGAACCGACACCATACACATCCCCCCAACCCTCTACCCACCCACTCCCCCACCATCCCTGCTGCCTGCCGGATGCCGTGCCCTAGGCTGGGACTGGACCAGGCCTGTAGTCCAGAGGCATAAGGGGGACAGTGGGCATTCTGACTGTGGGGGGACATGAGCGGCCCCGGTTAATGAAACAGACAAGATGCCTGGCGGCATAGCACTTCCAGCCCAGCAGGAGAGTGCGATTATTAACGAGGACCCACACATACACACACAAGACTTAGTTATGAGAGAAAACAAAGCAAAAGAAAAAAAGCAAGGCACAAGCCCTAGCACCTGGCATCTAAGAGGTGCTCGGGCTGAATGCATATCATCGCCCTGCTTTACATCTGTGCACCCCGACGCTTAGGGTGACCGCTGCACCCAAGGTACAGCCAGTGAGCAGACAAGCCAGGGTTCAAATCAGGATCTTGTGTCTTCACATCAGGACCCCCTTGCTCGGGCACGCGATGACCCTCCGAGAAGCGCTCTCGACACACCCACGGTGTGCTGACGGCCCTTTCCCTGTGCCCACGCGATCCGTGTCCTCACCTCCAGGTCGCAGAAGAGCAGAGGGCTCCGGTAGGTGCGGGCCAGCCTCACGACGGTGTTCCGGTGAATGCTGCAGTGGCCCTCCCGCCCAGCTGCGGAGAAACCGTGGGGGCCGCGGGCTGGAATGTCTGCCTTGGCAGCTGTGAGCCAGGAAACACTGGGAAAACTCATTCACTACCCCTCTGAGGGCCTCAGCTGCTTACTGGCCAGTGGGGTGACCAGCCTGTTCAACCTGCTTTTCATCAAATTAGAACATAAAGCTGGAAGGCCCTGGAGAGAGTGCTCTATAAAAACACGAGTTTCCTCATCTCGTGTTGAGGATGGGATGAAGATGGGAACAGCCCCCAGTACTACAGAGATTCAGTGAATTAATCTATAGGAATGACCTGGCATTCCTTATTCATCAATACTTATTGAGAATAATCTGTGCCAGGCCCTTCCCCCTTCAGGAGTTCACGGTTCAGCTGGGTGGCGGCAGAGAGCTCAGACATACCACCCGTGTAGGAGGAAGGGTGGGGAGGAGTCTATGGGATGGACTCCTCGGGCCCGGACTGCAGGGCTGGTCAGGGAGGTGTCCCCCACGAGACGGGAAATAGGGGTTAGCTCGGCAAAGAGAAGAGCATTCAAGAGAAGCTGTAGGATATAATCGTTAAGGGCCTGGACTCCAGAGTATGAATACTGGCTCTACCACTTTTTAGCGGTGGGCCTCGGGCAGGTTCCTTAACCACACGGACAGTTTCCTCAGCTATACAGCCTAACAGTATGTGGCTCAAAGGGTTGTGTGTAGTGAAGATGAAGTGATACAGAAACGAAGCACTTCTGGAACAATGTTTGGTATACAGTGAGTGCTCAGGAAAGGCGAGCTACTGTTAATTCTGCTGCTAAATATGACAAAGTCTCCGGAACGGCAGGACTTGTTCAGAGAACTATAAGCCGAACCAAAGAATGGGAGAGTGACAGGAGACAAGCCCAGACAGGAAGGTGGAAGGCCAAACTTGTGTTTTCATAGGAGTTGGGATTTTACTCTGAAAGCCACAGGGAGTCACCGGGTAACTCTCCACAATTATCTCAGCAGAATGATCTGCTCAGAACTGCTTTTGGAGAGACGGCCAACAGGTCAGAGCCTGAAGCTCACGTTCTTTCCGTCCCCCCGGGGCGGCCTCAGTGAGGAGTCTACACAGTGCCAGGCACACAGCACCCGCGGCGGGGGCAGAGGGGGGATGCACTTACCGCCTGTGATGAGGAAGCCCACCTTCCCGAGGAAGAAGGTGGTGTCCACATGGTGCAGGGACTCCTCCACGTTCCGGAGGCTGGTGCGAGAAGACAAACCAGAGGACAGACCTTACCAACGAGAAGGCAGAAGGCCTTCCTCATCCCAGAGAGGCCGGGGAAGGAGACGTAAAAGGAAACACCACTAGGGGAGTATTTTGTCTTTCCTTCTGTTTAAGGACTTTTAATTACAGAGTGACTCAAGCCAGTAGAATAATCCAACAGTAAATATGGATGCATTCAGTAAAAAGTAAGTCTCCCTCTCCAGCATCAACCTTCCGTCTCAATATCCTGGAGGTTACTGCTGCCCACAGTTTGAGGTATAATGCCATTTGCATATGAATTTCTCATATGCAAATACAGGCAGTGATATGTATAAGCATGTAGTTGGGTTTGGGTGGGTTCGACCTGTTACATTCTTTGGAATGATCATCTGGTATCACAATCTATTTTCTAGGTGATGGACACTTACATGGGCTCCAATTTTTCACCATTACAAAGAATGTCACATGAACATTCTTTTACTTGTATTCTCAAACATGTGGGCAAATGCTTCTGTAGGAAAGATGCTAGATAGAGAATGGCTGGGTCACAATATGTGTCTTTCTAAAATGTACCTCGGTAGGGGCACCTGGGTGGCTCAGTCAGTTGAGCGTCTGACTCTTGACTCTTGGTTTCAGCTCAGGTCATGATCTCAGGGTCCTGAGATAGAGCCCAGTATTGGGGCTTGAGATTCTCCCTCTCCTTCTCCCTCTGCCCACCCCCACTTGTGCATGTGCATGCACACTCTCTCTCAAAAAAAAAAAAAGTACCTAGATATCACAAAATTGCTTTCCAATAAGGTGACGGTATTTACAGTCATATCAAGTATATGAAAACAGTCTTTTCCTCTAGGAAAAGGGCACTTTGACCTTCTGGGTCAAGGGTTTCATTCACTGGTGTCCAAGGAGTGATGAAATCTGTTGTTTCCTGGCCAAAAAGCCAACTTGGTCAGGTGAACCAAGCCAAGGTTTCAGCCTGAACGAGCAAGGCCTGAGGCAAACAGTAAGGATGGCTCTCTGTCCCTAAGTGTGACTGCAGAGCAGAATCTCCCCAGAGACCAGTCAGCGTCCCTTTTGAACAGAGAGGTCTCACCCAAAGAGCAACAGATCTGCTGAGTTAGGACCTCTGGCAATCATGGCAGATCTCAGGCCTTTCCGTGCCCCACCATGGGCTCCAGTCACTGCCCACCTGTTCCAGCTGGCTGGGCAGCAGGTTTGGATTTGATCCTGCTGCGGGGTGTGTCTGGTAGCTCTATGTCCCTGGTGCTAGGTGTTTCCACCACAGCCTTCCCTTAACCCCCACATGACTGGGTGTGTGCCTTGGTTTCCGTGCTGGACGCTGTACCCTGCCTAACCTCAGTCAGCCATCCCCCAAGAGGGAGGGAGCAGACCTTCCTCCGTACTCCCCAGGTTGGCTGCAGTCCTGTCCCCCAGGGCAGTCAGCACCACAGGGAGGCCAGGCCGGGCCCCCAACATCACCACCACTCATTCTCCCCTGGCTAAAGCCCCACACTGCACTGGGCTCCTGAGCCTGGACTGGCCTTCGCAGTCCTGCACACATTACGCTCCTCCTGCCTGTTATATTAACCTTCTTCATCTGGAAGCTTCTACTGACTCCCATTTTTACCAGGCTAGCTCGACCTGGTCACTTCCAGCAGAAAGTCTACCCTGCCCCAAGTCCTGAGAGTCAGAGGTCTTGTTGGGGCTCTCATAGCCCAACGTGTTCTTCTTTTATGGTACCTATGTCAGATACTGTACTCATCCGTTCAGGAGTCTAGCTTCCTCTCCCAGTGGGCGGGGAACACCGTGGGGACAGGGGTCTGCTTCATTCATGTCTGGGCCTGCCATCAGGGATACAGAGAAGGCTGCAGAAAGCTTTAGAGAAATGACTGATGCCACTGCTGGAGTTTATCAGTGTCTTTATTTTTTATTTTTTAAAATTTATTTATTTGAGAGAGAGACAGCAAGCACATAGTGGGGAGGAACAGAGGGAGAAGGGGTGAGAATCTCAAGCAGACCCCGTGCTGAGTGTGGAGCTTGACGTGGAGCTCAATCCCAGGACCCTGAGATCATGACCTGAGCCGAAATCAAGTCTGACGCTTTAACCGACTGAGCCATCCAGGCGCCCCTCTATCAGTGTCTTTAAAATATCATGCACTTGTGGGGTGCCTGGGTGGCTCAGGTGTTGAGCGTCTGCCTTCGGCTCTGGTCATGGTCCCAGGGTCCTGGGATCGAGCCTCGCGTCAGGCTCCCTGCTCAGCTGGAAGCCTGCTTCTCCCTCTCCCACTCCCCCTGCTTGTGCTCCTTCTCTCACTTTGTCCCTCTCTGTCAAATAAATAAATAAAATCTTAAAAAAAAAAAATATCATGCACTTGCCCCATCCTCACCCTCTGGGCTAACCCCAGGCAGCCTCTCCCTGTGTCCTCTCCTTCCCATCACAAGTGAGGTCACCATCCCCGTGCACCCCTGAGCCAGGTCTAGCTGAGACCTGACAGCCCCTAATCTCTGGCTCTCACCTGTATTTGCTGTGAAGGTTGACCACGAATACGATCAGGTCAATTCGGGGCCGATTCACATTGGAGGGCAGAGGGAGGGACCTTGCCAGGTGGCTGAAAAGTGAGAAATTGCAGGATAAAGATACACATACCCACATCACAGTGAACTTTCACATGCTGCCCTCCACGGGGTAAGAGGCTGTCAAAGGCTCCTCACCTATTCCCCGGAGGCTCTTGTGGGCTAGACTCCTCAGGTGAGCATAGGGACAGGGCAGAGCTGGTCCTATCTAGACTGACTCCTTCTGCCACAAGGGAGCTCCGCTTGGGAACCACCTTGGCAAGAGGGAGTTCGTGATATAAGATGGCACGGGGCTAGCCAGCTACACTGTATGCTGGGAGGGAGATCAGGCTCAGAAGAGGGGTGTTGGACTGTGAAGAGCAGGGGTTAAGGCTGACCCCCTTTGGAGGGTGATGGAAGTGGGCTCAGATCTCAGGCCTGCCAATTATCAGCTATGTGACCTTGTAAGTCACCCTCATCACTCCCGTCTGAACTTGTTCCCTCATCAGATTCTTTCAAATGCTGTAACGGGTTTATTCTCCTAGTGAGGGGTGTTTCTGATTCCCATGGAGGAACACCCTGTAGACGGGGATCCTTCTCCTTCAACATGAGCCGCTGGAGCTTATCTACCAGGGAGAAGGACACCCACATATATCCAGTCACCTGATTCCCACCAGCAGCCGTTTCTACTCTCCATCAGTAGTGAAAAAAGTCAAAGTCCCTGACCTCAAGGGGCTGACCTGAGGGTCCATGGGGGTGGCAGACCGGAAACAAGTAAACAAACAGGTGAACAAGGACATTTCCTGTGGTAACAAGTGCTGCAGGAAACAGAGGTGTGTGACAGACAGTGACGGAGCATCCCTTAGCTGGGGACAGATCACGCCTCGCGGGCCTGGCCCCACCTGCGCCCGCCTCTCTGGCAGCTCCTCCGCTCGCCCTCCTGGGCAGCCCACAGTTCAGGCCACCGCAGAGCGATCGGACACTCCCAGCCTCGGCTACTTACACCTTCAGCTCCGAGGCGCAGTCCTCCTTGAGCATCGAGTCGGCCAGCTGCTGCAGAAGAGCATCTTCCGTGCCCACCAGCTGCCCAGGGAGAGAGGGCGGCCTACTGATGTCTGGGCGCAGCAGTCCCGCCGGAGGGCCTGGGGACCAGGCCACAGACAGAACGGCGCGCGACTCCCAGGATTCCCGCTCGCGCGCGCAGAGCGCCCTTTACCGAGAGAGGGCTCCGCCAGGCACGGGGTGAGGGCCCAGGCTGCAGCCGCTCCGGTCCAGTCCGCACAGCACTTCTTACCTCCCGGGACCTTCCCTCGGGCGGCCGGACCAGCGACCCCGGGAAGCACATTACCCGGCCCGCGCGGAACTCAGCCTCCCGGGACCCTGCCCAGTCTCCCCGCCCAGCAGCCCCACCAATCAGAAGCGGGGAAAGAGCCCGCCGCGCACCTATTGGTGGGGGCGTCCTTCAGCCTCAGAGGGCGGCTACTCCAATTGGTTCAGAGTGTGCCTCTCCCGCCCACCACACCCCGGCCTGAAAAACGCGCTCCAGAACCTGAGAGAGCGCAGAGGAGCGGGCAGCGGAGGCGCAGCCAAGGAGGGAATGCGGGCGGAGGAAGCGGAGCAGCTGACGCCTACCAAGATGGTGGCCGTGTTCAGGCCAGGCTGCTTGTCCAGCGGCCGCAACACCGACATCCTAGCCGCGGGCAGAACCGCCGCTCCCGCAGCGCGCGCGGATCTTTCAAACCGCGCAGAGGCCCGCCCTTAAGTGAGCGACGAGGGGCACGTGACCCTAATCTGGGCGGGGCTTCGCGGGACGGGGCGGAGCCCTCTTAAAGGACCCTACCTCCTTTTTTGAGAGGGGAGTTCCAGCTCCGGCCGCAGGCTCTTTTTATTTATTTATTTTTTTATTTTTATTTTTTTTAAAGATTTATTTATTTATTTGAGAGAGAGAGA